CTGCGGGCGGCCGCGCGTTCCCCGCTGACCAGGCCCTGGCGTTGGGACCCGCGCCTGGTGCCCGTCGTCCATGGGGGGAAATGTCCGCTCGGGGTCCCCGCCCGTTTTCACGCTTTCTTTTATTGTCGCGTTGTAGAAGTGCTTTGTGACTTCTGTCTACAAGCAAACTGGATTTCTGTGGTGCTAAGGGAGCGATCCGTGATCTTCGTCTGGCCCACGTCGCAGAGCGCCACGGGCGCCCTGGCGGTGGGTAAGAAGAGAGCGCGGTGGCAGAGGCATCGGCCCCGGGCACAGGAGTTGGGCCGCTGTCGGCGGGGCCAGCGTGACTGCCCGGGGCTGGTGCCCACTGCTGAGGTCGGCGGAGACCTCACGACAGTCACAGGACAGAGAGCCGCAGCCGTGGGGGGGCCTCACCTGGTGGGGGCGTCTCAGTGCTACTGTGAAGCTACCGCGGGGCGCAGGCCCAGGATTTGCGCCTCAGCGGGGAGACAAACATTTACAACCCGCGTCCTGCTCCCGGAAACGGTGTGTTAGCGTCCCCCGGCGGGGATGGCTGTTCCTTCCTTCGCCGCTGGACTGCCTGGCCGGCACCTCTGGTCCCGTGTCGCGGGCTGGTGTGAACGCTGAGTGGGGGCTGGGGGGAGGGGCGGCCTGGCGGCGGGGCCTGCGGGGCTCCGTCTGCACCCGGGGCCTGCCTTCCTCGCCTGCTGCCTTCCCTCCGTCGGTGGGCAGGGCGCTCCGGGCCCCTGCCCGCTCTGCGGGCTCTGCGTGTGCTGGTCCTCCCACCCTCCGGGCCGGCCCGGCGCCGGTCGTTCCCCACACGCTGCGGGACTTGCAGACACCAAGTTCTCTTTCTTAGCCTGACGCAGACGGCCATTGCGGAGGCCAAAGGATGCGCCTGCACGGGCCCTGACCCCCTCGCCTTCGGACGCTGAGCAGCCAGAGGAGGCGACCGTGGGCCCCGGCACGCCTTCCCGCCGCCTCTGACGCCAGCGCCCTCTCTGCTTTCAGACTCCCAGCGCTCTCACCTCTCCTCCTTCACCATGAAGCTGATGGACAAATTCCACTCGCCCAAAATCAAGAGAACGCCGTCCAAGAAGGGAAAGCCGGCCGAGGTGTCCGTGAAGGTTCCGGAGAAGCCCGCAAACAAAGTAAGTGGCCCTGCGGCCCTCCTGCCTTCCGCCGGGAGCAGCGCCTCGCCGCGGGGTCCGCCCGGGGGGCTCGGGGGCCGCCCGCTCCTCCACTTCCCCTGGCCTCCGTGGCCCGGTGGGAAGAGGAGCGGAGGGCGGCGGCGGCCTCACGTGCTCGGAGGCGGGGCCTCTGGGGCTGCTTCTCCTTCTCCGAGTGACACCGGTATCGCCCTCCGGGCTTTCGAAACAGCTCAGCCCCGAGTTCTCCCCCGGCCCCACGCCCTGGGCTCACGCTGGGAAGGGCGTCAGAGCAGCCTCGGGGCTCTGGCCCGCGGCCGGCACGGCCCCCGGAGCCCAGCGCGGCGTCCTCGCCCGGGACGCTCGGCAGGGCCCCGCAAGCCCGACGCACCCACCTGCCCCTTCAGCCTCACACGGCCATTTCAAGCTCTGTAGGAATCCAGGTTTCCTCTCTTCCAGGAGGCAACAGACAGATTTCTACCAGAGGGCTGCCCTTTCCCCTTGGATCAGGAGCAGCGGGCAGTGGGATTTATGTCCACCAGTGCTGTGGCTTCCGGGTCTCAAAGGCAGAAGGTCAGTGTGATGTTAAGAACAATGGGGTTCGCCTCGCCTTCCACTGCAGCGTCCCGGCGTGGCTCTGGCGCAGCCTGGCGTTCGTCCGGGCGCGGCTGTGGCCGTCCCGACGCAGCGCGCAGTCCGAGGGGTCTGGGTGACAGGTCGGGGTCTCTGCGGGCCCCCGTCCTTGGCGCGCCCGGCGCTCCGCGAGGAGGTCGGGGCCCTTCCTGGGGTCGCCTTGGGGGCTGTGTGGGCCCCGCGGGTCCCGGGGAGGGGCCCTCACCTGCTGCGGCCAGCCGCTGGCTCCTCGAGCTGCCGCGACCCCCCGAGACGCCCTAGACGAGAGGGCGCCTGGGCGTGCGGCTGCAAGCCGTCGGCGAGATCCAGGCCGCGCTCCGCGCCCTCCCGGGAGACAGAGACGGAGGCCCGAGGGCACCGGGCGCTTGGCCAGAGCCGCGCAGAAATGGCGCTGGCGAGGCCGGGTCGGGAAAGTGCCGCCGGCCGCGGTCGGACCCGGCGCCGAGCTTCCGTGTCTGGGAGCCGGGGTGCGGATACCTCAGACTGGAGTGTGAGCCCCACGTGGGCAGATACGAAGACAGAGTCAGAGTCGGGGCGCCAAATGACAAGGAGCCTGGTGGACAGAGGGGCGCCGGGCCCTCGGGGCCGTCCGTGGAGCAGGTCACCGGACGGCCGCCCCGGGGACGCGGCCAGTCCCGGGGGGCCCCCGGGAACCCGCCGTGCGTCTTGGCTTGTGTTTATGTTGGCCAGCAGGATCCCCTTAAATGCTAGCTGAAAGCAGAGAGGATCGAGGCTTTTAAACCCCGAGGCTTTGGTTGAGTAACGGCTTTTCCTGCGCCGTCTGCTAGCGAGAGGAGGCTGAGGGGCGGCGTGACTCGGGCGGCGCCTGCCAGCTTGTCCTCCGTGAGCTAAGGCGAGCAGCCACAGGGTCTGCGCCCGCCTGCGCCGGCCATCAGTGTGCCGCGGCTCCAGGCGGCCCGGGGCAGCGCCCACGGCCCCGCCGCCCAGCTGACGAGGAACCGTCTCGGCCGCTCGGCCCCGAATGCCCCTCCTCTGCGTCACTCCGAGAGGTGCTGGGGTTCAGGGCCAGGGCACCCCCTTAGTGGGAATCCCGCAAGCTCGGGGCGTTCTCGGCGAGCCTGGAGACAGCTGTGGTCGTCACCACTGAGACAACGCGGCAGGTCTGCCGGCATCTCGTGGGCAGAGCGGAGTGCTGGGGGGCCCTGCTCCCCACAGGCCGCAGCCCGCGTGGCCAGGCGTCCTGGCCACGGAGCCTGCTCAGCGGTGAGGGGCTGCGGTGAGCCTCCCCCGAGGAGGGATGTCACCCTAGGGAGGGCCAGGCCGCCTCCCTGCCTACGCCACCCCACTGGACAGGGCACGAGCCCTCCTCAGTGGGCGCCCAGGTCAGCGCCGGGCCCGCGTGTGAGTGGAGGAGGCCATCGGAGGCCCCACGGGCTGCCGCCGCCCTTATGCGTGGCTGTCTTGCCACTCAGAAACGTGTCCGTGGGGATCCCTTCTGCCTGAGGCTGTGAGCCTGTTTGGCTCCGTGGACCGCTCAGCCCAGGGAAGTACAGGGCTGTGACACCAGGGCCCGGCCCAGCTCGATCGCCCTCACCGGAACCATGGGCGGCAGCTGGACACGCAGCTGGACTAGGGCCCAGGTTTTCTTACACTCGATGAGACCTTCTGTGCGCACCCCCACCCCATCCGACGGCCCCTCTCTGCGTTACCCATTTTGCAGGTGAAGACTCCAAAGCTCCCTGCTGTCCCTACTGTCCCCACGGCCCTGGACGCCGTCCTCCCAGGCGCTGCTACCGGGGTCGCCCCTGGGCTGGTTTGGCCGGCAGCGGCGGCACGGGGGCGTGCAGGTAGACGCACCTGCCTCGGGGGTGGTCAGCTGGGCAGCCTCGGCAAGCCCAGGCGTCCAGCCCAGTTCTAGCGCCCGCCGGTCGCAGTGCCTCGTGGAAGACCCTTCTGACCACTGACTGTCATTTGCAAGAAGCCCCGGTTGAGGTTGAAGAGCTGCAGGGTTGGGGCGGCTCGGTGCTCAGAGGCCGTAACTGGGAGTGGAATATGCTGGAGAGCTAATGATGAACCCTGACTCTGCTCAGCTCTTTGCTCTGTGTTGGGGTCCAGGGCCACCTGGTCCTCAGGGACCCCGGGCTCTGCTCTCTGAAGGGCCCCACTGCCCACTGTCCCTGGCAGGCCCAATGACACGTTTTCTTACAAATACCCCCCTTCCCTTGGCTCCCTGGGCTGAGGTGGCCGTGGGCGCAGGGCTCCGCCGTCCAGCGGCCCCACCACAGGCTCTGGCCGGAAACGGGCTGCCCGCTGGGCAGTGCCTAGGGCGCCTGCCAGGTGGTGAGAAGAGAAAGGAGGTGGGGCCTTCTGCCTGAGCTCTGCGTGGGCTTCGGTTACACTCGGAGGATCCCAGCAGAGGAGCTAGTCAAGTCCGCAAACGTTGTCTGAGGGGCATTTACTTCTCCACCCCTCTGTGGCCGCTTCTTCTGAAATCCCCGTGACGTAAAAGCCCGTGCGGTCGCTCTCGTCCCAGTTGAGACGACGCGCCTGGGCACTAGAGCGGCTCGTTCTCAGTCATGTTCTGTTACGTGCCAGCCATGTGTGCCCTGGCAGGTGATGCGCGGAGATGCCCTTCCTGCCCTTGCCTGCCCTCACGCCAAGCACTCCGGGCCTCAGGCGCGCAGGTGGGCTGGCCCTGCTCGGACGCGCCCTCAGCCACCACGCACGTTGGCCAGTTTCGGATTTGTCCGTTTTGTAGCTTAGTCTCGGTTTCCCTCCTGGACCGGCCAGCTGGGACCGGGGTCATTGACCTTAGGGCCAGCGGAGGGGCCGTGGCAGAAAGGGACGGAAGGGCGTGTACCCACAGACTGGGCTGAGGGTGCCCCAGTCACGGAGAAGACAGGTGTGCGGTCCGGCCCCGGGGCGCAGGCTCCGCTCCGTGCCCCGGGGGCGC